TTTGTAAGTGATTTTTGGTTTTTGGGTGAAGTGTCTCGATAATGTGCTTCCGACTTTACAGGACTCCGAAGAAGGCGATTTTCGCCGAAACGTTAGTCTAATAAACGTTGAAAGGTTCTTCCGTTTTTTTTTCCTCTTATTTACTTCTGAAACTTCTTGAACTTTCTTGAACTGATCCCACTCAACGTAACAAGCGTGAGCGTAAAGAAGAAGAAATTTCAAAAACTCCGTACGGGGAGAAATTTTTCCGACTTGCGTTCCCCTCGCCTTCTTTTCGAAGCTATTGCCCTTTCATAAAATTCACCTAATAATGTTTAATGTGTAGGTAAATCTACAGAGTTTTAGCCTATGAATACCAGGAAAACCTCCTGAGATTCCAGTTAAGTTCATTTGGGATTGAGAAGTTTGCCAAAAGCATGGCTAAATGTCTCTCTATGTTATTTGATTGGGCGCTATCAGAGCAAAGAAGGGCGTTTAATTATTACTCGGTATGCGAAAAGCGCGAAAAGTGCGCCGAACTGGTCGACGTGACCCACATACCGAAGGATTACCTCCGATCCGCTCGCGTCTGTCACCCTCTGAGTAGTTCACCATTTCTATCTGGAATCAGGTACCAGTGACTAAGCACAACTATAACCAACTATAAGAAAATAGATTTACTGATTTCTTAAATAAAAATGGTTGTGGAGTGACCATCGTGGACATCGTTTACATAACGACCACTAACTTGCCCCATGGCTAATTTTCCTTGTAAAGGACGATTGATTACGGTATTTTGTTTTCAATTGTTGATATTGAAAGGGTGGTGCACTTTTATATGAGGTGAGAAGAAATCGGTTGTAGGTTTTAGTTCCCTTACTACTCTTTTCTTTGTGGAAGTTTCTTGAGACAGAAACTGAAACATTGGCTATTTGTTTGTCTGTTTTTCTCATGACATTTCCTTCACAGTTCCCAGAAAATATTTTGCGCTCAGTTTCTACCTAGTTTCAATTAGTTGAATGTTTTCTTTTCAGGGAGTATGGGTGATTCAGATCAGGAGAAGGTGATCGCAACTTTGAAAGCATACCTCAAGTTATGTGCCAAACCCAGTCACCGACCTCTTATTTTGAAAGTAGGTTTCTTGGTTATGAAGAAGTTAACCTTCTTTTATCCTTGCCTTCAGGATCAAACTATTCTGCACGTTCTGAAGAGCTTTTTGGGAGATGATCGTGTTGTTGTTATGACTTACCTCGTCAAGGTGTGTTTTGTAACTCGACAAGGTGTGGGGAGCACCCTTTTTATTTCGCCGTCCGATGGCATTTAGTTGGGGGGGGGGAGGAGTTGCTTAGACCTAGCTGCATTCCGCAATTCCGGTGTAGGTGAACAAGTTCCCTAACGCTATAAGAACCCGAAGCTCGTACTCCTCTCCCACTGGGAGAAGGAATGAGCTCCAGGGTGATGCACGGTCATGTAATGACACCTAAAGTTTTAGACCATTGCCTCTTTTTTTGTTTTGTTAATATTGTCCAGCAATGGTAATCTCCATTGTAGATCCTGTTATATTTGTCGGAAAATCCGGACGATGCATTGGTGTTGAGTAATGTGGGCGGACTTGAGGAAAATCTAGCGTCTGCAGCTGAGAAATCGTTTCCACCAAATATTGTCTACAACATTCTTATTATTGTCTCCCGTCTCAAATCCGCGCAGGACAAAGCGGCTCGTAATAAGTAAGCAGTTATCAAGTGTTTTATCTCTTCATTTTCTTTTTACTCAGTATGAGGTTGTCGGCCTTATCTTTGTATTTCTAAGTTTTATGTGCTTAGGAATAGTCTTGTTCGCTGCCGATGAAGGGCGTATCAGGACAGATGCGTTTGGTGCGCGCCCGATCCGTATTCCACCAGTTGTTGAAAAGCAAAATTTGTATCACATCCTTCGTATTAGTAATTTCCCACCAGTTTTTGTCGCCTACCGCTTTAAGAAGTGGTGGAGGTTGGGTTGCGTGAAATTAGCCCCACTAAGATTGTAGATCATATCACCTGCATTAGGCCTGTTGCAAATTCGCCTCGCTTGACTTAGTGGGGTTTTTTGTATGCTGGTGCCACGGCAAATATATAGCGTCGTGATTTCAGTAGCGAGTCCCCTCTGTGACAATGAAGTGTGTTTTTCCAGGCGAATAATCAACAATCCTGTTTCTGCTCCGGCTGATGAAAGTTGCATAGGTGGTGGTGGAACTATTTCACGAAAATTTGTCTCCCGCAAATCAAAGCAGCTGATTTACGAGTTTGACGAACTGTGGGAGGTACAGCCGTCATTAACATTCTCTGCCGTGTAACTTTCTTCATTAAAATCTTCGTTTTTTCAGGAGCTTAAAAATGAAATCGAGCGTCGCGTATTGGCTAAAAAAGGTGTCATCAGCATTTATTTCAACATGACAACTAATAGAGCAACCATACGTACAGTTCTTAATGTCGACGCCCAAGTGAGTCATGACCTGTTCGTCTCATAACTTGAGCCCCTTCATGTTATTTTTCTAGGAAATAACTGACTTGCTCTTCGATTGTGGCTGTGAAATGGTGACTCAAGTGGTGAAAGTAGATGGCGTTGACGAGTTGTTCAAAATGTATGCAAGTGAACGAGAAAAGAAGGTTCGTGGCTGTAATATAGATTATTGTAGCTTTATGCTCAAGCCAGGCAATTCTCATTCTGCGAGTGAAGTAATCCTCATGATACCGCGTTTGTCCCCCTTATTTCATTCGTTCACCTGTTGCCCTCCCCAATCCTTTGACTCCCCTCTAGGCGATTTAAGATTTCTTGTCCCTGGCACCACTCACTGGGGTGCATTCCACGCCCATTGTGTGCGCAGCCTAGCATGACTTACGTTTGCTCTCAGCACTTTGACTTGTGCTCCATCAAACTTGACCCGCTCCGTAAAGAGTTTTTTCACGCAATTCCTATTTACTAGGTGTGATCCCATATGTATGGAACAGGGTGACTGCGGGTGTGATTTCTAATTCTTTTCCTCTCCAATTTTATTTTCGATTCCTCTACCATTAGTTTCTAAGAGCTGAGATGGGTTGGGGGCGCCGAAGAACGAAAAAAACGTTTTTGGGAAGAGCAGGCATTTCACAGCGCTTCCTTGTGTCCTGTTTTAAGTGAGATTTAGATATGGAGCGTAGATGGTCAAAGTTAACGCAGGCTAGCTTCACAGGGGAAGCAGTTCTAAGGCTGTTCTAGTCTGCTAACTGCTGGTAACAGCAGTTATCGAACTAAAACAGCTTCAAAACATGTAAAACCCTTCAGCCTCGCGGTTTACTGCCGATATCGGCTAACCGGCTCATCACGTTGAACGTGTGAGTGCTGTAAGGCTATGGCACAAAATGCCATTGAGCTGAGAAGGCAAGAGTGGCCCCGGTAGCGTAATGGATAACGCAACCGCCCGGTAAGCGGGAGATGCGGGTTCGATTCCCGTCCCGGGTCCGACTTTTGCCAGCATATCAGCATTCTTGTGATGCAGTTTTAGTGCGACTTTTGCTCCACTATAGCCTTAAGCCTTGATTAGAGGAAGGGACTGAAAGGCGCTGTTTACTGCCCCCACTTCCAAATAGTTAAGAAGCGCCCCGAACTATTCATAAGCATCAGTACCAAGATGATCCTTCAGTGTTTTCTATTTCAGGTTGTGAAGCTGCCAGACTATCTTGACGATCTTGAAGTAGTCGATCCTAATTCGTGTGTCGTCACAAATGACTACGCTAGTGCTCGTAAAGATGGAGGTGGATGGTTCAACACTCTGTCATCGTTTGTGAAAAGTTCGCTCTGGTGATCTGCATGTATTCATGTCGCATTTATCATTCCGACAATCTTATTGCCTTTTGTCATACCGTGTAGACTGATTCCGAATTCGATCAATTTCACTTTTTGATCTTTACCTCAGAAATAAGGGTATCGTTCTGCTTTCGCATTTTTGGCATCTCTACAGAAAGTTTTAATCTGGTTCCTAACTGCTATTGCAATACTACTGGTTTATATAGCTCTATTGATACTCAAATGTCTTTATATTTCGATAATGAATATGTTTGCGTGTTCTATTGTATTACTATGTGATGTATTCAAATGAAGTTCATGCAATTTTTTCGTTGAAATTTTTGAATTGGGTTGATTAATCCCCTACTTACATAACTGATTTATTGCGTAGCGTCATTGCTGGTGGTGAGCTGAGAATGGTTGGGCGTTCCATAACTTTGTATTACTGCTGACAAGCCCGTTTCTCCGCCAGAGCGTGTGTGTTCATTGGAGTTTTAGAGAGTTTTTGTAGATGCGAGGTGACGTACTTGTTGCGAACCAAATGCAGTCAATGAACATTGGCTCTAATGGTTCTGATTATATAAACGACCTGTATCGAGCATACCAAGGTGAGCAGTCCTGTATTGTTTTTGTATTGTATTGTGCCAGAACAGGTTCCGACAACAGTTGACATTTCATACTCGTTAGAAATGTTGCTCGTCGAGAACCTCCCACTGTTTTCAATCGAAATCGCTTTCTTCAGTGCTTTTTGTTCTGCTTCTACTTTGGAGTTATGGACTTTGTTCCCTCAAAGTCCATAACTCCAAAGTATAATTTTTGTTCCGGGGTATAAAGCGCATATCGCAAAATTGCACGTTACAGCATGCGCGAAAGATGGTAGACACAGCAAGTTTTCCTTTTTGTATGGTTCAATCTCTAATTGGTTTTTAAACTCATGCAAATCTTCAGTATGGGTAAAAACATTCACAAAACGTCCAATGAATAGGAGGGCGACACATTCGCAGCGTTGGAAGCGAAGAAGCGCCTTATTCTACAAAATAGGGTAATGAGGCCTGTGGGGTAACGAGGCCTGTGCTGGAGTGAAAAGGTTCAATGGAAGAAAACCATGGAAGGGGGGGGGGGACAAGAGGAGCGTCGCTCACCCGGATTTAACATTTAAAGAGAGTCCTTTGTCCGTAACTGGAACTGCCGTAACAGAGATGAGGATTTTCACCTAGGTGTACATGTAGGGGCATAGAGTCCATGAGCCACATTCTGGCGCACTTGAGCATGGTTTGCCCCCTACCAATCACTGCCGATACCTCCTGGAGAGACTTTTGAATTCCTGTAAAGCTGTGCAGGAGTACAGTCTTCGTTTAAATATGACCAGAGTCTGTAGAACTCACAAGGTGAGAAAAAAGCGAAATGCCCTTCTACCCCTCTAAGCCGAACAGCGACCTATCTACTCTGCGTAGAACGGATTTATCATCACGGAAATCCCAGTTATACACAGAAGAGCCCTCTCAGTGTCGCTATCGGCTTAGCTCCGCGCCACATAAAAGTCGTTAGTGCGAAATTATTGATAAAAGTGGTCGTCACATACACCGTGCCATTGCTTCTCACCTGCTTTGCTATAAATTGCCAAAATAGTAAGTTGTTTTGGAGCTTGCACTTGCCGCCAGACTTTCTATCCACAATATTGGGCTGACATGAATAAACTGCTTGCAGTTCCATATTTAAATAAAAAAACGGCATGAAATGCTCGTGACTTGCACGTGAAGGTTTCGGCGAACTCCTAGTGAACGCAATACCGCGACTAGGGGAAAACTACAATTTCTTCATAAACTTGTTGTCTTTTCGGAGTGTATGAGATTTCAGATGTTAAACTTTATGCATCATA